TTAAGATTAAAGCTAAAATATGACATAATCTTTAGGGTGACTCTATTTTACATAATTTTTTAATATATGAATATAAATAACTATTTATTTCATAGTGTTAACATAAATACATAATTTTTTACCTAAGTTCAAATTTTTTAATAGATATGCATAAAATATGTTCATATTTCTTATTTAAAAAATAAAAAATACTTATAGATATTTATTTACCAATTTAATAAATAAATAGGTCAAATGATTCATAAGTTGGGCACAGACCAAGACAATTTTTAATACTTAGGTGAAGGTCATGTTAAAATAAATATACAAGTCATTTATGTATAACTCTAGTAAAAATGAATAAAATTTAATTGATTATAATTCATTTTTACTACATATTTTAAATAAATTTTATATTATTATTTAGTTTTAAAACTAATTTTTGATCATTTATTTATAGTTGTGCATATCACTACTAAGGCCACTTTGCTGGCTCTTAATACAAAGTAAACATAAAACTAATTAAGATTTTAAAAAGAAAAGTGATGTATTTTTATTTATTTATTTAGTAGATTCAGAATACATAAATTGCTAAAATTTATAGGTTATTGACACAAAACAAAATTAAAATGAAACTAATTAAGATCTTAAAAAGAAAAATGATGCTATTTATTTATTTAGTAGGTTCATAATACAAAAATTATTGAAATTTATAAGTTACTGACACAAAACAAAATTAAGAAATAAAAGGGTGATCCCTTTAATTTTTTTTTAATTAAGTAGCTTTAGAATACAAAACTTGTTAAAAATTATTTGTAGTAGCAACAAAATAGAATTAAATTTTGTACAATAAGATATTATAAATGCTTATTTTTTAACTACACGAAATTTAAATTCTAAAACATTATAGTTGCCATTTAACTATTATCTAATTTTTAGCTTATTACATTTCAGTTCTTATTTTTGAGTTTTTTTTTTTTTTTTGATAAATTTTAAAAAAACATAGGTGACATTTAACTCTTGTCTAATTTTTAAACTACTATCCTCTTATGTTCTTCTATTATTAGAGTTAAATTAGATTTTTTTTTTCAAGTATATCTTATTTTATTTTTGAATTTTTTAATTTCAACATATTTCTTTTTTTCAATCTTCATTTGATATTTATTGAATTTCTCTCTACCTCATTTTTCTAGAATTTATTTAATTTTCTCTTTTTATATTCTTATGATTCATCCTCAAATTTAAACTTTTTTTTTTTAAAATCTTTATCTTATATTTACATAATCCATTGTTGCTCTTGATTTTCAGTTGAGTTTATTTTTTTTTTAAAGATTTATCTAATTTTTTGTTTCTATATTTATCTTCAAACTTTTATTTTTATTTTTATCTTATATTTATAGAATTTCACTCTTACTCTTCCTTTTCAATTGAGTTTTTGATTGTGTATTTTAAAAAAATTAATTAATCCTGAATATCTATATAAACATAGTGAAATCACTCAAATCTATTATTTAAATATTCATCTAAATAAATATCATAATATTTAATTAATTTTTAACATGTTTAATATTATTTATTACATTTTATTACTTCGCCGTGCATAACACTACTTTTACGCTAGTTAGATAATCAAGGGAATGTATGCGTAATTAAAATATGAAGTGAATGCTTATTCAATGAGAAGACCACTAAATCCAAAAACTTTTGTCAACATTAGCAAACTGACGTTCCCTATTAGGACTACCAGCTCAAATTATGTTGGAATAAATGTTGAGAACCAGTTAGTTAAGTTACATTATCATTATCATTTTGTCCTTTAAAATTTGTTCAAAAGATTAATATTGTTTCTTAACTTTTAAATCTTCTATTTAATCTCTTGAACTTTAAAAAGTAACCAATTTGATTTTATTTTTTAATATTACATTACGCTATTTTAGTGTCACACCCGTTTGTACAAGAAAAAATTGTAAAATTCATTTGTAAGTGTAACATGTTCTTTATTTATATGGGTTTAGGCATAGGGATATTGGTACATGATTAATAACAAGTTCACATGACTTCAATGGTTTTGGAGGGCTAATTAGAGATGAAATAGGAACTTGGGTGTGTGGCTTCTATGAAAATTTTCAAAGTGGCACTAGTTTGAAGCTAAGCGTTGTGGGCTCTATACAAAGGATTGTGGGCTCTATACAAAGGATTGACTGTCATATTGCAAAAAGGAATGAACTAAGTAATCATCGAGATCAACACAGAACAAGCAGTGCAACTGATGCATGAGGAACTAGGTGACAAAACACCCTTCAAGAACCTGGTATAAGATGCTCAAATTCTCTTCAGGGACTGTGAGTGCCTGTGCAACACATCTGGAAGGAAGGAAATTTATGTGCCGATGCATTGGCAAAAATGAGAGTGAACCAACCAGAAGATATGCTGGTGTTCAATGAACTACCGATTGAATTAAGATGTTGTTAACACCATAAATCTGCAATTTTTATTATTATTTATTATTTATATAATTGCAGGACACGTGGCATCCTTTTATTCATTTGGAAGTTAAAAGAAGTTGTAGAGATAATGGAGAATGTGAAGGACAAAGTGGATGAGTGGGAGGACAAAGTGGATGAGTGGAAGGACACATGGCAAGACAATAATGAAGATGAAAGAAATGGGTAGTTACTAAGTAGTTATTGCTGTATTTTTTCTTCTATAAATAGCCATTAATGGCTACATTGTAAGAGATCCAGAACTTAAATCAAAGACACTTGATTTCAATATTTCTTGTCATTTTCCTTATCTTAGGAGTAGTTTAACATAGATTTATATTTCGAAGCATTTATTTTCAGCATTTCCATTTCGAAGCATTTTATGCACTTTCTTTTCGAAGCATAGGAGTAGAGGTAAGTAATTATTACTTCGATTGTTCACTCAATCATCTTTCTCCGTCCCTTTTCTTCTTTTACTTTTTCTTTTCTCTACACTTGGCAAATTTGAAGTCCTCTTCGTTGAGGCAAAAGAACCGTCAACACAATCGCTTGATAATTGGCTTGAATTTAATCTGTAAGGATTTTTCAATCCTTGTTGGCACGCTCGCATTTATGATATTTTCCTTCGTAGGAAAAATAAGCCAACAGATGTCTTAGTTTCAAACATGATAGAAATGTCTAGGGAGAGGACTTGGTTCCTTATGTTTGTTATTTATTTCCGATGTACCCAAAAAAAAAAAAAAGTTCACATGACTTTCATAATACGATATAGTTGCTTAATTTTTGAGAAAAAATGGTAGGTCATAGACATCAATTATTTTAAGATTAATTATTCAGCAGTTTTAGAATATTATATGACATTATATACTTGGTGGTCCAAATTAGTTACGTATGAAAAAAAAATTATGAATAAAATATGCTGACTCACCTTCATTAGATAGTTAGAAAAATATAATATAACTCACTTAATATTGTAGCGATCCTAATTTTTTTGTAAGTCATTATTTATTATTGTTACTTTATTTTATTTTTAGCTTTATTAATTATGTAGATACATGAAAATTTAATGTGATATTTAATTAGTTTAATGTGATATTTAATTATATATAATTAATCAAAATATTTATATTTATATATTCATGTATACATAAAAAAAAAGATATTACATGTATTGATTTTATAAAATATATTTATATATGTTGTAGTTATTTAATAAAATAAAATATATATTATATTTATTTATGTTATATAATATAATAGTATATTAGGTGTGGTGTGCTGCCACGAGGAAGGAAAACAAAAGAAAATAAAAAGCAGCGGAGAGAGAGACAGAGAGAGAGAGATTAATCAGAAAAGAAAAGAAAGAGGGCTCATTGTGATCAATCATTGAGAAAGTCGAGACAGAAAGACGGCCGGAGAGAGGCCGAGAAAACAAGGGTCAGAATTTTATTTTGGTCACTTTATTAATTAATTAAATAATTTTTTGATTTTTTAAAAAAATATTGTGAGTATAAATTTTTTTTTCTTAATTTATATTTAATTTATTATTTTTATTTATTTGATATTGGTTGGATTTTGTATTTGTATGTAAATAATAGATTGATTTTAATTATTTTGATCAATTGTGTATAACAGGTTTATGGTTTTTATATGTATTTATTTTTTGGTTGTAATCACACTTATGAATTTATGAAATTAAAATAAACTTGGAATCCATAGATAAATTCCTTATACTCCACCCTGACGCCATGGATTATTGTTTTATTTGAGTGATTGTGAAAAAGAGTGTATAAAAAAAAATGTGAGGATTATGAGATGTATTTGAATGCCTTAGGTTTGGCATTGTTATGTTTGTTCTCATAAGTAGACGAGAGATTGTATATATATATATTATTGCCTCGTTCTCATGACTAGACGAATCCTTTGATTTACTCACATATGTATATACTAATCATCCGGGGAGTGTGGGTCAAACTCGAGATGATATCCCCGTGCAAGTTTGGTTTCGGAGCGGTGTTAAGTATACGGGAGGCACATGAGATATATGTGTAGGCTGGAAGTGAAGGCCGAAATGGTGAAATTAAGGTACAAAGAATTAAATATGAACATATTGGTATAGTTTGAATTGTATTAATTTGAACATCTTTAAAAATAGTAAGTGACCTCAATAAATTATAAAATTTGGACAAAGGCATGTATACGTAATTTTAGACAACTTTTGTATTTTAACTTTGTACTAAAAAGATCAATTAGAACTTGTAATCAGATTATCTTGATTATAGTAATTTTTATTCATTTTAGCAATGTAGATTTTAGACACTGTTTTAACTCATAAAACGAGCTCATTTTTATTGGTTTCATGTAAACTTAATTAAAACGATATTTTCAATTCTTTTCATGTTTTGAAAATTTTTGAAAAAAATCATCTTAGGATAGTTTCTTCTCATTTTTAGTTCCAGATTTTTTAATCAAATTTCATCTAGGTTCTTCTATTAAGTTTTTCTCTTTTTGAGGATAACACAGCAATATAAACATTAACTAAGCAAAAAGTCTTACATCAGTAGCAAGTTGGTGAGCAGCGTGAACCATATCACGGTCCACTTTTTGTAAGACAACATGATCAAAAGATTTACACAAAGACAAAATGTCAGCTAGAATGGATTGGAGACTCCAATCAGATTCTTGAGCATGGTGGTGGAGTAGCAGAAGAAGGACTAGGCAATCTGTTTGAAGAAGTAGATGATTGATACTGGAATGGACTGCCCAACGCAGAGCATGGAGAACAGCAACTGCTTCGGCTTGTTGAGGAGATAACATTGAAGGTCCCAAAATAGCTTCCTCATAGACTCGGTGATCATCAGAATCAAAGAAAACCCACGCCAGACCAGCGTGCTCACCTACAGCAACCCAAAAGCCATCCACAACAATACGCATACGCGGACCAGTAGCAATGCATGGCTTAGCAGTCTGCAAAATAACCTGCTTAACAAAACTGGGTTGAGGAGAAGAACTAGAGTGAGAAATCTCATAGGGAACATTGTGTAGGGGTGAAAGAAATAATGTTAGTAACTCGGAAGCAAACATGATCGATCGTTCTATGGACACCTCAACTCTATGAAATTCTACAGAGTTACGTTGCATCCAAATGGCCCATAATAAGGCAATGGAGTGTATTACAATCTCCGAGTCATGTATTTGTTGCACCCAGCCTTGAAACCATGAGAAAAAGGATAGAGGTCTTCCCACCCCAAAATCTAAACCCAAAGTCGACCCACGCCAAATCCGTTGTGAAATGGGGCAATCAAAAAATAGATGTTCAAGGGATTCCGCATGCTGAAAACACCTAGAACAAATAATATCAATTGGCATCCCCCTTTTCTTTAATTCAGTTTTAACCGGAAGAATATTATGTAGACATTTCCACACAAACGAGATCCATTTAGGGGGGATCTTGATCTGCCATAAGCGTTTCCAAACTTGCCAATCCGGATCAGGCCTAGAATGGTCGGGAAATTGTCGGGTCAACGCCTGCCTATAACCCGATTTGACTGAATACTCGCCACTTTTGGTCGGTCCCCACACCATTTTGTCCTCAATATCAACTTGAGAAATGTGCATGGATACAATATAAGAGAGAACATATGCAGGAAAAAACAATTTCAATAACTCAAGATGCCAAGACCGTAGCAAGGGATCTATGAAATGTGCAACCCTCAACCCAGGACAAATAGCAGTCCAACCTCGGCCTCTGCAAGGATTTGAAACAATCGAAATCCATTGATCATCAAATGGGTTAATACGTTGTCCGTTCCCCACTACCCATTGAAGCCCCGAGACGAGTAACGAACGGCCCCATAAAATACTCTGCCATCCCTATGAAGAGGACGAAGATTGGCGAATGTCAAGAAAAGAACGCCGTTGACAATATTTACCAAGCAACACTCGCGAAAAGTAATAAATTGGGACATGAAAGAATCCGCCATGCTTGTGTTAGCTAGCAAAGCTTGGTTAAAACACATAAGATTTCGAAAACCCAATCCGCCCCAGTCTTTTGGGAGACACAGATATGTGCATTTTTTCCAAGATATCCCTTTACCCCGGGAAGAGGCCCAAAGGAACTGACAAATAAGAGACGTAAGCTTATGCTGAAATGATTCAGGCATGCGAAACACAGTCATAAGGTACACCGGAATGGATTGAAGGACATGTTTGACCAAAATACCCTGGCCTGCAAAATTTAAAAAATCACACTTCCAGCCTTGTAACTTGTGGCTAACTTTACTCAAAATTGAAGTAAATATGTCCGACTTTGAGCGCTCGGAGAAACCCAAGTTAGCCCCCAAATAGATGCAGGGTTTTGGGACAACTTTAACTCCAAAAAGAGAAACCAGCCAGTCCCTAGCCAAATGTGAAAAATTGGGACTAAGATAAAGCTCCGATTTATGAAAATTTATACGCAACCCGGAGTAGTGACAAAAAGCATTTAAAAACCAATGGAAGCACCAAATTTCATCTGTCTTATAGTTGAGGAATATAAAACAATCATCAGCAAAGAGCAAATGTGAAATGGGGGGCGACTGCCGACTAATAGCAATACAACGGCATATGTTAGGAGACGCCAAATGTGCAAATCCATTAAGTTTTTCTCTCAACCTGTTTCGTTTCTACTAAATTCGTTCGCTTAGTCTTTTAGGAAATTTAATTCTGTACAACTTTTGTTCTTTGAATTTTGGTCAATTCGAATTGTTTAAGCATGAAACAGTGCATTTTTATACTTTTTTAACAAATTACTTATGATTAAATTATACTAATTTTATTTTTTACAGAATTGTGGGTCTTACTAACTTTCTATGCAGGGCTGACCCACTATATATTTATTTTTATTTTATTTATTTTATATTCAAATTATATTTCGTTGTGTACGGGCAACAAACTAAAAACCACCATATCTCGAGAAACTACCCATTCGTCTCGGTGCAGATGAAACTACTTGTCTTGTCCCGTAACAAGAATTAAATGTATTTTTGTTTGTGACTGATGGACACGTGGGTGTCAAATATTTGTACTCATACTAGTATACTAACATGTTTTGTCTCTTGGCATCTCGAGTGCATTTTGTTTAAGTGCAGCCGAACTTTCTTTGCAGGATTAGCTAAGACTACGGTGGTGAAGATAAATAATTGTAGTTGTTGGACATATCGTTTGGACTTCTTTTATTTTTTTGAACTTAGAGTTGACGTTAATTTATATATTTATTATTTATTATTATTATTATTATTATTATTATTATTGTTATGACCTTAGTACTTTGATAATTTGACATGGTGGGTTATTTTGTAACTTTACATTATTTAAGTTATTTTGCATATTTGTTGCTACTTTAATATTGGAGGTATTGGACAGTTATGAATTTATGATAAATAGTTTGATTGGTGTTTTGTTTTGTTTTGTTTTGTTTTTTTTATCCTTGTAATCTTTTGAGCATGGAAATTTACTTAAACACTTTAGAAACGTGAACGTTTAGATTTTGTTTTATTCATAAGATTTAGATAATGAAATATTAATTGGAGTTTAGTCCTAATTTAATATTTAATTGTTCAAATTTTGAGGCGTGACAAATATGGTTTATGATTTCTCAAAAAGACAAAATCGATTAAAATAGTCAATAAGACAAAATATCACATCAAATTCATAATCATTTTATTTTTTATCTCACAAACATCACATTTAACTATAAAAAAATTAATCATCTTCTCAAATATAAAAATTTTAATTTAATAAAATAATCAAAAATTAAAATAATTTACTGAAATAATCAACTTTCTAAACAAGACATAATCCTTCTAGAATAACTAATATTTTTCCCTCTTTTTTAAGTCATTTCTATTAATTATGTGAATTGACCTTGCGACTACCACTTAAGTGGGGACTACTTTTTCAATTTTCCAAATGAAGTTTTTAGATTTTGTCAAAAGGTAGCTACTACTTTAAAAACTATGGTGTGATGGGTGTGATGAGTGAGAAAAATTTAAAGAAAAGTATTTTTAAAGATTATGTTTAAATTATAAATTTGTGAGAAGAAAATTGAGTAAAATAAGTTAAATTTACTTATTTTGTTTCTCTTGATAAATTCACAATCTAAACATAAATTGTTAGCAACAATTTTAGCAAAGGCAATGTCCATTATCCATGAGTTTGTTTAGTACTTCCTTACTTTAGTGATTAATTGTGAATGCTTAAATTGTAACAATTATAATGTTAAGGATGCCTAATGAAAATATAAACCTTTTACCTTCATCCCAAAAAAAAGAAAAAAAACATTATTATTATTTGCAGCAATTATTTTTTCATTAAAATTTAGTTTACAAGGTAAAATTTTAATTATACTAACCATGAACTATTTTTTATTTTGGTAGTCTAAGAGAAGAGGTATAAGGTATTACTTAGAATTGCCAACTAGGATTTTTGACCCCAAATATATATACACACACATATACACACACATATATAGATATATGAAAAATGTCTCGTAGTTCAAATTTTGTGGCTCAAAAGTGGCTCAAATGGCCAAAACGACGTCGTTTTGGCCATTTTTATATTGTTCTGTACTCAAAACGACGTCGTTTTGACCATTTGAGCCACTTTTGTGCCACAAAATTTGAATTACGTAGTATTGTCGTATATATATATATATATATATATTTACATAAAACTCTTATATGGTGTTCACGAATTTAATTGAATCAACATCGATTTTCTCATTTTGAATACTTTTCATGTTTTGAAAATTTTTGAAGAAAATCATCTTTGCATAGTTTTTTTTTTCATTTTTAGTTCCAGATTTTTTAATCGAATTTTGTCTAGATTCTTTTATTAAGTTTTTCTCTCAATCTGTTTAGTTTCTACTAAATTCGTTCGCTTAGTCTTTTAGGAAGTTTAATTCTGTACAACTTTTATTCTTTGAATTTTGGTCAATTCGGATTATTTAAGCATGAAACAGTGCATTTTTATACTTTTTTAACAAGTTACCTATGATTAAATTATACTAACTTTATTTTTTTATAGAATTGTGGGTCTTACTAACTTTTTATGCAGGGCTGACCCACTATATATTTATTTTTATTTTGTTTATTTTATACTCAAATTATATTTCGTTGTGTACGGGCAACAAACTAAAAACCACCGTATCTCGGGAAACTATTCATTCGTCTCGGTGCAGATGAAACTACTTGTCTTGTCCCGTAACAAGAATTAAATGTATTTTTGTTTGTGACTGATGGACACGTGGGTGTCAAATATTTGTACTCATACTAGTATACTAACATGTTTTGTCTCTTGGTATCTCGAGTACATTTTGTTTAAGTGCAGCCGAACTTTCTTTGCAGGATTAGTTGAGACTACGGTGGTGAAGAGAAATAATTGTAGTTGTTGGACATGTCGTTTGGACTTCTTTTATTTTTTTGAACTTAGAGTTGACGTTAGTTTATATATTTATTATTATTATTATTATTATTATTATTATTATTATTATTATTATTATTATTATTATTCTGACCTTAGTACTTTGATAATTTGACATGGTGGGTTATTTTGTAACTTTACATTATTTAAGTTATTTTGCATATTTGTTGCTACTTTAATATTGGAGGTATTGGACAGTTATGAATTTATGATAAATAGTTTGATTGGTGTTTTGTTTTGTTTTGTTTTTTTTTTTATTCTTGTAATCTTTTGAGTATGGAAATTTACTTAAACCCTTTAGAAACGTGAACGTTTAGATTTTGTTTTATTCATAAGATTTAGATGATGGAATATTAATTGGAGTTTAGTCCTAATTTAATATTTAATTGTCCAAATTTTGAGGCGTGACAAATATGGTTTATGATTTCTCAAAAAGACAAAATCGATTAAAATAGTCAATAAGACAAAATATCACATCAAACTCATAATCATTTTATTTTTTATCTCACAAACATCACATTCCAAACAAGACATCATCCTTTTAGAATAACTAATCTTTTTCCCTCTTTTTTAAGTCATTTCTATTAATTATGTGAATTGACCTTGCGACTACCACTTAAGTGGAGACTACTTTTTCAATTTTCCAAATGAAGTTTTTACATTTTGTCAAAAGGTAGCTACTACTTTAAAAACTATGGTGTGATGTGTGTGATGAGTTAGAAAAATTTAAAGAAAAGTATTTTTAAAGATTATGTTTAAATTATAAATTTGTGAGATGTGTGTGATGAGTGAGAAAAATTTAAAGAAAAGTATTTTTAAAGATTATGTTTAAATTATAAATTTGTGAGATGTGTGTGATGAGTGAGAAAAATTTAAAGAAAAGTATTTTTAAAGATTATGTTTAAATTATAAATTTGTGAGATGTGTGTGATGAGTGAGAAAAATTTAAAGAAAAGTATTTTTAAAGATTATGTTTAAATTATAAATTTGTGAGATGTGTGTGATGAGTGAGAAAAATTTAAAGAAAAGTATTTTTAAAGATTATGTTTAAATTATAAATTTGTGAGATGTGTGTGATGAGTGAGAAAAATTTAAAGAAAAGTATTTTTAAAGATTATGTTTAAATTATAAATTTGTGAGATGTGTGTGATGAGTGA